TGATTCTTACTACACTTAGAGACACAATATGTACCATGTTTTGTTTCAATATCTCTTAGATAATAGATATTTTATAAAGAAATAAGTAAGGAAGGGCTAAGTTCGGATGTAACCGAACATTTTATACTCTCGCAAAGTCTAATGGTATACTCGTTTGAGATTTCTTTGTGGATTGACTGATATTTTCGGTAGAAGGTCAACTATAGGCACTGGGGTCCACATATTTAGTACTTAGGGGTTTGAACAGTTTTGGTTCGATTTAAACAATTTTTGGCCGCAAGGTGGCATACTTTAATTGAATTATTCACGCAAAGTTTTACGCCGATATAATCATTGTTGCTTGATTTGCATAGTGGAAAGTGAAAGAATCAAGTGGTATATAAAATGGTGTCATATGGAAAATAGGCGTGGTTGTAATCTGAATGTAAAACATTTTCGCACTATGACATAGAAACATGAAAAGAAATTTACGCACCGAATTTGGTTGAAATCGGTTAAGCAGATCTCAAGATATGGGTTTTCACCTAAAAGTGGGCTGTGCCACGCCCACTGTCTAATTTTGAACGCGGTTCCTATAAAGTCATCTCATACCATCCCAGAGATAATATTTAATGTCTCTGGCGTGTTTAGTGCTTGATTTATCGCGCTTTTAGTAGTTTTTAACAGTACCGTTATATGGGGAGTGGGCGGAGTTGCCACCCGATTTCAACTATTTTCACACTGCGGGTAGAGGTTCTAAAAAGATTTGCTTCCAGTGAATTTCGGGACCAAGCATTCTTTTTAAAAAAAATTTTAACTGCAGATGCCGCTCCCTAATGTGATCCTGTGTACCGGCAGGGCGTGGCGGCGATCCGATTACGCCCTGCAATACCAACCATCTCACGGTACGTAGAAACATGTCTACCAAGTTTCATAAAGATATCTCAACTTTTACTCAAGTTACAGCTTGCACGGACGGACAGACGGACGGACGGACAGACAGTCACCCGGATTTCAACTCGTCTCTTCATCCTGATCATTTATATATATATAACCTTATATCTAACTCGATTAGTTTTAGGTGATACAAAGAACCGTTAGGTGAACAAAACTATTATACTCTGTAGCAACAGGTTGCGAGAGTATAAAAATAACTAGATCGAAGTGAACTGAATATGAGATCCTTACGATGAGGTTCTTCCTTTTTTATAATAACCCCAACCCAAGAAGTAAACATCTTACAAAAAACAATATATTCTGGGAATCAAATTTCTTCTCTTAAAGCTTTATTATACATACGCTGTGCCAAATTTCGGGATAATTTCTTTTAGAGCAAAACAAGAAAAAGCGTTAACTTCAGCTATAATAGCTTTCACATGTGCATTTCATATAGCAACTATATGTATAGTTAAATAGGAAAACGTTATTCTTTCCAGCTATGTTTTGGATATATTAATTGAATATCAGCTATATGCTATAGTGGTCCGGTTTGATAAAATTTTTTGGAGATTATAGCTTTGACAACATTTCAAATTTCGTTAAAATATCTTGCCGAAGCAAATATTTTTCCATACACCACTTGATTCTGATAGATCCATTTGTATGGCAGTCTCCGATATCGGTGGTTCCAAAACATGTGCGGTTCATGTCTTTTAGTTCGATATTTCAAATACTGAGCGACTACTATGCGTGTATACTGACAAGTGGACAGACAGACGACCATGGCCAAATTGACTCAGATCCAGTTAAAATTTCCAAACAATCGATTTTTTTATACTCTTGCAACCTGTTGCTATAGAGTATAATAGTCACCCACTCCCGATATAACGGTACTGTTTAAAACTGCTAAAAGCGCAATAAATCAAACACTAAATACGCCAGAGACGATAAATATCATCTCTGGGATGGTATAAGATGACTTTATAGGAACCACGTTCAAAATTAGATGGTGGGTGTGGCACCGCCCACTTTTAGGTTAAACCCATATCTTTAAATCTGCTTAACCGATTTCAACCAAATTCCGTACATAATATTCTTCTCATAATTCTATATTATAGTGCGAAAATGTGCGAAATCGGATTACAACCACGCCTATTTCCCATATAACACAATTTTAAATTCCATCGGATTCCATCACTTTTAATTATGCGAATCAAGCAAAATATATAATGAAATCTCAAACGAGTATACCGTTAGACTTTGCGAGAGTATAAAATGTTCGGTTACATCCGAACATAGCCCTTCCTTACTTGTTTTACATTTTTTTTTTTCTTAATGTACATATATTTAAGAATACACCCAGAAAATTTCATATCGTTCCGGTGAATATTTTCGAAGTTACACACAAATTGGAAAAGGCGCTTCAGAGTGCTTGCAAGTACAAGGTCGGAGCTTTCCAAACTTTAAACGCGTTTTTCTCAGAATGGTGTTTTCAAAGTGGGTGACCAACATTACTTAAAATTGGCTACACCGATTAGTCTCAAATTTTAACACGAGCTTCTTAAATATATGTTTTAGTGACGAATCGAAAATTTTTTACTCCGATAAAAATTTTTGTTTTTCTAAACAATTTAAGGCCGAAATTTCGGTGACAAATCGATTTTTTCTTTTCGAGAAACCGCCATTTTGTCAAAAATTTTAATTTGCTTATTTCTTCGATTAATTACTAGATTTAATATTACTTTAACGAAATCTGTTTGATTTTTTAATTTCAGATGATCCAGTTTAGAGATATAGTGATCACCGTAAAACGTCTTTTTTGAGCGGAGCTCCCGGATATCAGCTGTAGCTCTTTTCCAAATAATTTTTACTAGTACTAAGTATTAAAATATAGTTAAAAGATACTATAAGATGTGTATAAACTTTTGGATCAATAAATTTAAAAGTTTGCTCAGAAAAACTTCTGAAAAATTCACTTTTTCGGTCTTCTAACTGCATATAACCCCTTAAGTGCATATTTACATACTATAAAGAGTCTCCGGCGTCTCTTACTTGGTGTTATAAACTTCGTAGCAAACTAAGGCTTGCTAGTGAAATACCTACGTGTTTAGCTTTATATTAACTTTTCGAAAAATGATGGACTTTAAAAAATCGTACGTAGTTTACTATATAATGTTTCCGTACAGCTACAGCTAAAATTTCAGCTAAAGCTGACTAACTCAAATCTTCCACAATACAGAGGATTGAACAGGGAGACCATATTTTTGAAAATTATACCGATCAATTAATAGTTTAGATAGATAAATTGTACTTTGAGCCAAAAAAATTCCGAATTTTTGAAAATCGTCGATTGTTCTAACCACTGAAATCAATAATAAAAACAAAGTATGTAATAATGTATTTATATAATATAATAAATTCCACATAACGGTGGAACAAATTATGGAAGAATTTCAAAACTTTGATCGAAGGTTTCAATACTTCCGTGCATTGCATCTGTATAGGTAAATATACATACATATATAAATAAATAAAAATTATTGATTTACGAACGCGTATGGCATACACGTATGTATATACAAATAAACATAAATATAAAGGAGTATATATATTATATATAAAACTATAAAAATATATGGACATCCATGCTGCTTTTGAAACATGTTAATCCAGCACAATGGAGCCCAACCAGAAATTACCACACTATAGCCGCATGAATTACTGACAGAAGTTTTCAAAATGTCAATCATATTCGTCTTTAGATAAAGACACAAGCCAGAGGACAAACATACACGAACACGCTGCACAAAAGGGAATATTTGTACTTGGGTCTGAAGTTTGAAAGGTGCGCAAAACAGGAGGAACAAAATTGAGATATCGACGCTGTGAACAGTAGGTACCAATAAAACAATAGCAACAACAACAACTGTCTGAGCAATAAGTGAGATAAAATATCGCCGTTATGACGAAGTGGCAGGCGATAGTCAAGCGGTGCGCCCACAGCCGCCAAATAACTGAGCGAGTATATCCTTAAGAGCTGAAGCTGGAGCTGCATTCCAGCTATTCACATATACATATGTATGTATGTATGTAGGTGCACACATGCAACATATATGTATATGTACCTTTAATAAGCACATGCGTAAGAATCCCACTGTGCTGCGAAAAAAACGATTTCTCTGAATGCCAATCCATGGGGCATAGCTGTCGGACGCGTAAATTGCACATGACATGTTAAGCAGCACCAACAACAACACTATCGCGAGGTTTTCCTGCTTCTGCCACAAAGGCTCATATCATAAGCTAAGCATTTAGGAAAGTAAATATGCATGTATGTATATATGTATTGTACATATATATGTATGCGCGATTGTGACCAGCATCTGCGACCAAAGAGAACTCCAACTGCGTGGCCGACGCACTGCCAATTGCTGCACCTTGAAATTTCGTGTCCACAACTCATGCTCTAGGATATGAATATTTAAGCAAATTAATTTTTTTATTATGCATTTTTTATGCCTTTTTACGTTGGCCAAACTGTCATAGAAATACTTTTGTTAAAGGTAGGCGAACAAAAAAGTGTTCATGGGCGTTGCAAGCAAAACCCAAAATACCAATAAAACAACAAAACAACCGGTTTGACTTTAGTGACTAATTTCTAGCCAGAAAAACTACTGCACAACAACTACACGCACGTATTAGGTACTGACACAAATAATGTTTACATATATACAACTATACATACTTATATGTATCTATATATATATCTTATTGGAAAAGCAAATACCCAAACATTTGCGGATACAAATACATTTTTGCTGCTGGTTTTAGGCATTATCACAGGAGCCATTGAGTTTCCTGCTAACATATGACAACTGCTCATTGAGGCAAATATGCGCACCACTCTTTGCATTGCACTCACTCGCAGCATGTACTCTTGAACCAAGCGTGCTGCTAGAAAGAGATGGCTGTGCCTAAGTTCACTTGGCGTAAGGAGGCGGAGCTCGTGCAACGGGTTTTTGCGGCTTATCAGCAACGGTGGTCGGACAGTGATGATTGTAATGTTCGCATTGGTGTTGGCGGTAGTGGTTGCCGTGGCTGGCCATGTAGTTCGCCAGCAATCGTGCTCTGATTCAGTAACGATTTGGTTGTGCGGTGTTAATAAATAAAGTGTGCTGTGAGCGCATGTCGTACGAAATTTTCAATGAAGAACTCATAGAGCGTGTGACGACGTGACGCTGTATGACCGAACACGAAGCTTCTATGTGTATGTGCTCGTATGTACTGGAAAAGGTGTATTAGAAAATTGTTAAATTCCATATTCTAAGTAACTAAACGCTTAGCAAGTTCAGCTGAACGCGATGAACTGTCAGCAGTGTATGGTGTTTTTGTACTGTTAGCAAATAATAAAAGCTTAGCTAGTAATCAATTGTGTGCCAATGTGTTAAATTCGTAAATTTGTGCATAAACAAATACATAGGTGCCTGTCATATACCGATAAAATCAAAGCGTGTTAAGTGAAAAGTGAATACTTAAACAAGTTTGTTGAATTTAAAGAACTTTAGAAAACGCAATTGCATTTGTTATTAATTCGCGTGAAACCCTTGCACCCGTGTGTATTTAATATCTCCCTCACACTTGGCGGCTTTTCAATATGATGGACATTAGCAGCATGTATGGCAATCATCATCCACATCATCAGAACAGCTATCATGCCAACAGCGCCGCCACCGCCGCCGATATGGCCGCTGTAGTCTCCTCAACTGGTTATCCCAACGCTTACTTTCCAACCGCTACCGCTGCGGCCATGCCGACGCATCACCATCAGACACATCATCACCAACACCCGTTGGGATACGCCGGCTATGTGACGGACGGTTCGTCGCCCAACTATTATACGCAGCAGCAGCAACAACAATTAACGCCTCCACCACCCTCGTTGCAGCATGCTCCAGCGCTTCTAAATCAAAACTCTACTGCTGGCTCCCAACTACAACAACAACAGTCACAGGCACAGCAGCAGCCATCGATGTACCCGCACGCACACCTTTTCAGTCCCAGTGCTGCCGAATATGGCATTACAACATCTTCGAGTGCTGGCGCGGTTACTGCCTCGGGCACACCTTTGCACCCGTCCAGTCATTCGCCCACAGACTCTTATTATGAAAGCGATTCAGTACATTCCTATTATGCGACGGCTGCAGTAGCAGCAATACCACCTGCTACCAACTCGCCGACATCCGCGTCCAACGCGATACATGGTAATGCAACGGCGCCAATTGATGCGCCAATCATAAGCTCAGAAAATGGCTTAAGCTACACCAATTTGGATTGCTTATACAATCAAAGTGCTCCAACACACGCACAACAGCAGCAACAAATGCAACACAATTATGCCTCTTTGCCCGCAAATAATGTTGGCAGTAGTGGCGGTAATGTGGAGGAAAAATACGCCACTATGTTGCATTCGACATATGGCGGTGGCTCAGGTTTACCATTCGATGAACCCCTTATGCAGCAAGCCATGTCAGCAAGTCAACAACAATCACCACCTCAAATGTGGCATCATCAGCATATGGCACAAGGGGGGTACACAATGGATGCCGGCATTTCTATGGAATCACTGGGTATGCATCCCTTGAATATGGCGCACATGCAAACAGTGCCGCCACCCCAACATACGCATCAACTTCAAACACAAACACAACAACAACATTTGCAACAGCATCAAGCGCAATTGCAAAAACATGGCTCGCCAAATGGGCCGTGCATAAGCTCGCGCAGTCAGCAAGTTGTCTCGCCCGACTGCACCGGATTGCCTTCATCGCCGGGCTCCTCATCTAGTCAAGCGGGCTCACACAACAAATCCCCGAATCAAGCCAGCAATTTGCCAACGTATAAGTGGATGCAGCTGAAACGAAATGTACCCAAGCCACAAGGTGAGTGTGTGCTTTTCGACTTAATAGTTTCTGAAAATGTGAGAGCGAAAGACCAAAAGACTAAAAATACTCACGATTGATGTGTGAAGATAGCTAGAAGAAGCTTGAAGTTAATAAAAGTAGACGTGGTATACACCCAGAGGATTTCAGAGTTGTCTTTCTTTAAAAAAAATAAAAATAATGATATTTTGGAAAAATGTGTTCCACATTTCTTTAAAATCGAAAACATTCCATGCATAAACCTAAAACCAACAATTAAAAGTACTAACTAACAAGTTTGTTTATTCTCATAAATTTATACAAGTATACATACATACTATGTACCTACACTTCGGCTAGCGCAAATAGATTAGCCTTGCTCTTGAGATAGTCGTTATCGTATTATCGAGAGTCCACTTATAATTAAATTAGTTGAATGTAATGTACACGTGTTAGTTTTTGCAGTCAAAGCCATAACCGATAGTAAGAGGTGATATTATGAAATTAAAAACCGTTACATGTGCTAGGTATGGTTCTTTACTCAGGTACTTTGGTACTCTTGGAAACAACTGTTTTGATTATCACAGTCTTTTCCAAGAATTTTTTACTTCTTGGTTTCCTCTACACCCTTATTATACTATTGTACAATGGCAACTTGACTAAATAAAATAAAAATAGTTCTGACCACAATATCACCTTCCATACATATATTTATACCCTGAACACTTAACCCTTAATATACACTAAGTTTGCCACGAAGTTTGTAACACCCAAAAGGAAACGCCGGAGGCTCTATAAAATATATGTAAATGATCATTTATTAAAGTAGCATGATGAGCTGAGTTGATTTAGCCATGTCAGTCTGTCTGTCCGCCTATCTGTATGTATACAAACTAGTCCCTCAGTTTTTAAGCTAATGGTCTGAAATTTTGCACCTGAAGAAGCTCAGGTAGACTGAGAAGCTGCTCATTTTTCGGAACGGCCGACATCGGACCACAATAGCATATAGCTGCCATACAAACTGAGCTATCGGAATTAAGTACTTGTTTGGGAAACTTTTTTATTTGATTTATTGGCATGAATTATTATTTAAGGCAATAATGCAATCTCCGAAGAAATTGTATAGATCGGATGCCTATAGCATATAGTTGCCACATTAACTGAACGATCGGAGTAAAGTGCTTACATGAAAAACATTTTTATTTGACGAGATATCTGCATGAAATTAGGCATGAGTTATTGTTTAAGGCAACAATGTTTGTATGTAAGGAACCTTTGTATTTGTGAAGGGTATTTTATAAAGGTTAACGAAGAAATTAACATGTTTTCTTATTTTTTAAACCTTCTATACCATCTGATGAAACTTGAACCGCACTTTGTTTTTGCAAGTTCACGTATTTTAATACAAATGGTCATTATCGCCCTCACAATAGGCTCCAATTAGACATACCAACGCTTAACCTTTCGAACTGGAAGGCAACTGACAGAGCAATCTCGGCTTTAGTTATTTTTTTTTTGTCTTTGCGATATTAATAAAAATATCATAAAAATTATAAAATTAAATCCCGACCACCTGAAGTAACTTGGGAGCGGTGACACATATGTGTCCTATCAACAAACACTACAAATAAACCTAACAGACAAGTAGTAAAGAACGATTGTCCGTTAAACCTTACCACTAATGATGCCTTTGATGATTTTAGTGTATTCACCTACGTTGTCAAGTATCTCTTGCAACCTCTGGGCGAGGTCGTCTTTGCTCAAGTTTCGATGAATGACTCAAGTCCTTGAATGAGGATGAGGATCTAGCATTAACACGCTTCATATACAAAACACTAACCAAAACATGTTGAGTTGATCCATAAGAGATGTTTCTTTAACTGTTTCGATGCTATCCTTATTACCCATTACCAGCCCCAGGGGTGGATGGACGATTCGCATGAGGCAAGTTTTCGATAATTTCACGAACTTCACTGAATGCTTTGTGTCACTCAAAACTACAAGTAGTTTTCGTGATAAATTAGACTCCCCAAAACACTTTCAACGATTCCATAGCCGTGATTCCATTGATCAGTCAAATAATATCGGTTGAAAATTTAAGCACAACATTCCCTTCCTTCTATATAACGGTATTCATTAGTTTTGCTTAAAAAACTTTTCTTATCCTTCTATACATCATAATTTAATTGAAATCAGTCAAAATTGTTACCTACTTAATCTGAATTTTCATAAAATTTATAGAACTGTTGAAATTAGCAAAGGTTACCATCAATTTATTTTATTTTGAAAGTAAAAATATGTAAAAAATGTCCTAACGACATCATTATAAAGTTTGCAATAACTCACTGATTTATACACAATACTTTGACTGAGACTCGGAGTGAGCTTTCTCAACTTTTTTATATATGGCATAGCTAAACAACAAAATCGAAAGGTCCCTAGATTTCACAAAACATATTATGCTTTTGATTTACAAGTTTTTCACAGTATATTCACGCTTATATTTAAATTTCATGTTTTCTTAATGTTTGATGTATAATTAAGTAATGTTAGATGCATTGAAGTATATTTTCATCAAAAAAACAATTTTTCCTCTATATTTTCTATTTATTTATAGAATTCATTACATTAATGTTTTTTTTTTTTAATTTTTGCATTATAAAGCTTACAGCGTTATGAGTCAACTTTTTTTTAAATTTTTTAAAAACTTTTTTTTTTAATTTTTTTTTAAATTTTTTTCAAATTTGAGCAACTCAATTCTAATTTGTGTAAGTCAAGGTAATCTTATAGTTATAGAAAATCAACAGTTAATGAATAATTCCAATTTCTGACAATTTTCACACATTCAAATTAGTAAAATATTTCAAAAAGGCTTTAAGACCTAACCAAAATTTACTACAATTTTGATTTCGAACACTGAAACATCAAGTTTACATACAGGTACAATAAGCATATGCAAACTAACTTCGAAACAAACACAGCGCCAACAACAATCAACACAACAATTAAGAAAACAAGAAAAAGATGACTCTGGCAACTGATTGACAGGCAAGATATTTCGCTAACCAGCGGACGTCCAACCGAGGGTATGTCACCTAAAAATAAAAATCTCGCGATGCCGAACTACAAATGTACATACGTTCATACATACAGTTGCATGTATATAAATGCACAATCATATTTCCCGCAAATAACAACAAACGCGCCTCCGCGACTCTTTCGCTTTGGCATTTGGCGCAAACGTCTTAGACTCTGATACTCCGCTGTTTTAGAATGACGGAACGTTTTCACGAATGTTGCATATTTCAGATAATTTTGTCAAATTCGGTGCAGTCAAGTTGTCACTTGTCAGAAATTTGTGCGAATAAGTCAAAATTAGCTCGTTCGCAGGGAGTGCGGAATGCATAAGAATAAGATGTGCACATGTTTGCGGTTGGGTGGGAGGCATATGGCGAAAGGCATGTTATGCTATTCAGGAGGGAATGCGAAAAGGCTTAGAAAACTATTATGATTTTATGAATTTAATAAACACATATTTATATGATAGAAATAAGTAAATAACATACATATATATACGTAAGTGTGAAATTCTGGCAATTTCTCGGACTAAAAGTTAAAAGCCTATAATTGATCAAATAAACCTGTGTGAACTGTTTATGGGTGCTAAAAAGTATCATTTACATGAATCGTAATGTGTAATTAATGAGAACGCCACACTCAACCAGTCAAGGAAGATGGTGACGCCAATAAGTAATTGCAACATTGTGACTTGTTGAAGCCGCTTGTGTGTGTATGTGTGTTTGTACGTATGTTTGCGGTTCCCACTCTGCCTGCTTGCGCGCACACGCAATAAAAGCGAGCCAATAAGACTTGCAAATCAGATAAAAAGGAGAACTCAAAAAGGCACATATTTTTACTGATCTGGAAGTCAAGTTGCTTGTCAAATAAATGATTATTGAAATGTGCTGCAACAGGCAGCCGAGCTGTCGTTGCAACGTAGACTCTGACAACAACAATTAATGCACAGTGGTTATCGAATGACAATATTTTAAGTAAATTATTTTAACAATAGCCATGAAGGTATATATATGTGGAAATAAATGTAACTTTGTATGGCGATAATTAGGATTTATCGAAAAAATTTTTATAAGACTGATTATATGCTTACATAGTATGCCAATATATTTTATACATACATATATATAAATGTTCATGCAGTGTATATCCATATATGTATGTATATATGTATAGCGAATTTGCGTTTGCTTTTGGTCACCGCGTTATTTAAAGTTAATAAATTTACACTTTTAATCGAGCCGTAAACACGGTGCACTGGCATAAAGCTATCGGTTTGCAAGTATGTCTCATCCATCTGTCATGTCATTCCAACCGAGACTCGGTTAAGGAACAGCATAATCAGCACAATAATTGAAAGTGGTAGCCAATGTTGTATTCGAAAACACTCAAGCCTGTAGTAGTTAGCTTATATACTCGTATTGTGTAACAACCTAAAGCGTAAACTGCAAAAGAGAGTCACTGGAATTACTCGTACTAAGTTCGGTGGTAAACAAATATTTTTTTATTTTAATAAAAATAGTTTTTTATCTATCAATTTTTGATATAAAACTGGACTTAGTTAGACAGATCTGTTATTGATTTTCAGGTGGATATCAACTCTCTCGTACATATATGCAATTTTCAACAAGTGAATTGTGGTGTTTTTGGCTTCACTTTCATTATGTAATTAAGTAACAGTTCGTGTTTCAGTAGAAAAAAACTAATTTCAAATCTTATTTGTCTCTATAAGAAGTAAACCGTTTTAGAAAAATAAATCCTAAAAATAAAATTTCTAGTTTATCGATAATTTTTGGATTAAGCACTAAACAATCGGATGTCTTCATTATCATATTCATCATAGTAAAAAAATTTGTTTATTCCTAACAGGGTATACTAAGTTTATCACGAAGTTTGTAACACCTAGAAGTAGGGGTCGGAGACTTCATTATTTCGTCTGTATATAA